CGAGGTCCACTGATCCTTAGTTAAACCTAGATCTACTTATTTCACTACGCTGACTCCGGGGTTCACATCTTAAAACCTAGCACTTTGTTAGGTAGACCCCGGGGTCCACCTATACTTTTGGCTAGATAGACCCCGCGGTCCACCTATCCACGTCCGTGATAATAACTGAAAACAATACATGAAAGTTGTCATGAATAGGGAAGAAAAATGTGGGGGAAAAAGATAATGAGGTAGACTATAATTTGTCCAAAAAATTGCAAGTGCAAGTGAAGATCATAAGATAATTTTGTTATTTACTGGTCATCTTTTCACGGTTTATAAAATGTTCCAGTGGGCCTACTATTAGATCTATGTCTCTGAAGAGCATTTTGCTTGACTTAATTAGCTTTTTTCATGTACTTGAAAGCATAGAATATAGATCTATAGTTTCACACAAATGTATGCACAATACTTTGAAAAAGAAAGATGAGGTCATTGTTGTTGTTTTGTTTTTTTAAACAGAATCCTTTTTACGTAGACAAAAGCGCTAAAAACAAGTTAAAAATTTTTAAGAATGCCCATAATATTAAGAACCCCAAATTACTACCTTGATCTAGTTGGCTTACTCTTTAATAACCATGAGCAGTTAAGAAAAAAAAAAGAGAATGATATAGGATTTGTCTAAATATGACCATTAGCAATAAAGATATCGCCCATTTTGTCCAATTATCCTTGCAGGTAAAAATCACCCTGTACTGTACCTCAATAAGCACAAAAAGAATATTTCTGTGACTTTGTATAAAGGTGTTTTGTAGATGAGTTCTATGTAAAATTCTCAACAAAATCATGTACATTTGGACCGTACAACTGAGATAGACACTCATGCACACAATAACATTCAGTCATTTACACATCACACACACACACACACACACACACACACACACACACACACACACACACACACACACACACACACACACACATACAAATACAAACACACTATTACATTACATTTACTCTCTCTCTCTCTCTCTCTCTCTCTCTCTCTCTCTCTCTTTTTCTCTCTCTCTCTCTCTCTTTCTCTCTCTCTCTCTCTCTCTTTCTCTCTCTCTCTCTCTCTCTCTCTAGATCTCTCTCTCACCACAACCACACACAAAACAAACACACACACACACACACAGAGAGAGAGAGAGAGAGAGAGAGAGAGAGAGAGGGGGGGGGGGGAGAGAGAGAGAGACTCACAACTCTTACCCTTGGTCCACTTTTCATTTAGTATATTCCTCTATTTTGAAAACAAATCAGTAGAATCTCAACATTCCGAATCCATGGTTAGTTCAAGAAATCTACCATATGATGTGGCCCAAATAAGGTAAGGGAGGGGGGGGGGTAGCTTATTTGGGCTATATGTGGCCTAAATAAGATAAGGGAGGGGGGTTTAGCTTATTTAGGCCACATGTGGCCTAAATGAGGTCACCCTTTTAAAAAGTTTCTATGTGGTATTGTGGTTCTCTGGAGTACGTCTTGTGACTCAATACCTCCGATTTCAGACCTCCAGCTCCACGTCTTGTGACCTACCCTGAGAGCTCATGGAGGAATTGCTACCGGATCCCACCGTTGGCTAGAACTTTATATTACTGCGTTCCCTTTCCATATGGTGCTCCCGTCAGTTGACTCATAAGGAACTCCAAGACGTGGTAATGCCACCTACCACCCCACCCCATCCTTAAGAGCATCACCAGTTGGTCCAGGGCTTATTTTATTAAAAATTCACAGCTAACTGCCATTACTATACTGGAGCCGTTCCTTATCCGCTTCCTGGGGCGCACCAGGAAGGGAATGGTCGCCCCTAGATTACATGTACATGTAGTTCTTTGCTTCTACTGACCATGAGTTCTCCGTTGTTTTAGTTGAAATCAGTTATTTTCTACATGCCACCTCCTCAAATACAGGAGAGAGGGGGAGAGAGAGAGAGAGAGAGAGAGAGAGAGAGAGAGAGAGAGAGATTGTAAATGTTTCACGCCCCCATCAATGCAATTTAGATCATAATTAAATAGGAGGCGTGCTTCAGGGCCAACACGGGTTGAAGGGTTCACCATCCGAGCAGAAAGGCCTAGATGTTCGATTAAAATTCACCCCACACCGGAATGGAAGTCAGGTCTTTGGTGCATGACGACGAAGCACCTGACCTCTTTAACGTGCGCTGTGCGCAGTTTGACACTGGGTCTCTAACTCTAAGATTTTCCTCCCCTATCCGAGAAGGCTACGTGTTAGATTTGACCTACCTTAAGATCAGGGGTATGGCTGAAAGACAGCAGTAAGGAGGAGCCAAGGGGTAGCATTAGAAAGGCAGCAGAGAGAGTCAAGAGCCCAGAAGACGGGGCAAAGGGGAGAGGGGGCATGAAGAGGAGACGAAAGCAAACAATAGAACACGGTTAGAGAGAAGGAAAGGATGTGAACGGAGAGAACTGTAGAGAAGAAAATGTTCCGTCCCGTCGCTGTCAGGTTTCGAACCCAGGATCTATTGAATGAGAGGCAAACACCGTAACCTCTAGACCATGAGAGCTCCCGTCCAACAGAGTATCCAGGTCAAAGAATTAGCATGCTTTAAAGAACAATAGCACAATGTCATGTAGGCATGGCAGCACTGAAGTGCTGGAAACGTTTAAGTAGGTAGAAACGAATTTAAATGTGCATGGAATACATGTAGTTACATTGTCTTCAAAAAGAGACAAAACAAGTAGGCCTATGTACAGAAATGAAAGAAAATACGATTTAAAACTATGCTATTCAAAGTATGTATTTTTTCCCTTGCTTCTGATGTTACATTCAAGTGTGATCACATCACAGAAATGATAGATTTATCTTTAACGTCCTTCTTCATTTTTTCCTCTCAAGACTATCTTAATTAATACTGTGATCGATCACCTAGCTATGCACAGTGGGCCAGTACTGTACAGTGACAGACCTTGCCTTGTTGGTGACTTCAGTGCCATCGAGCCACACCGATTTATCTTGTAGAAATTCCACGAGTTCAGAAGACGGTGATACAGCATGGGACATGAGTGCCTTTGCATAAATGGAAGAACTGTTGAAACAGTTAACTTAAAGAGTCTATCGAATTTCTCCGCAAAATGGGAAGGAAAAAAGAAGGTCAAATCAGAGCAGTTAATTTTGGAGTTGGTACAATTAACAGCACTAGATCTACATCACTTTGAAGTAAGGTACACAGTAAGGTACGTTTTGAATTTTTCTTCAAAATCTTGACTAGAATGTTCTGACTCCATCTTTTGTGAGTGGAAGTGGGTATGACGTGGCGGTAAAGAAAGAGAAATGGTTTTTAAAACCCATTCAGACGTAACCCCTTACTAAAGTTTACTATGAAAACAATACGGTGATTCATCGGTTCGGAGAAACAGATTATAGTTGTGCGGCGTGAAACTTTCACCGGACGCTTGACCCCAATCTCGCTTGAATCGAGGAGTGATGTGTCTCTATTTCTCTTTGTCTCCGGTATAGCTTAATACTCAAAAGTGATCTGATTGGTCTGGATGTCTACTACTGCTGACTACGACTATAGTTCCGTCCAGTCAGGCGCTCCTTCGGTCGGAAAGAATGAAATTTCATTGGTTAGTCCCTTAAGCCCCGACTCTTAAGTTCTCAAAGACAGAATATCACTGGGGTCTTGACCTTTGCGTGGCCCAAGGCCGAGGCAAGACAATTTAAAGATGGTTCTAGTAGGTTCGGGGGCTGAAGCCGCACTGTGTCACGTGGTTAGGCATCGCGCGCTTGACTGTTGACAACAAATTTGCGCAACCTCGCGGCTCTAGGCCAAAGTGTGGACTGACCACG